CGGCCGGTGCGTCAGCGTCTGCCCCCCGGCCAGCGGCACCGTCTTGCCGAAGTCGATCATCCAGACCTTGGCCAGCCCCGTCTGGTCGTGGACGAAGAGCAGAGAACTCCCCACCACCTGCCGGGGGGGCAAACAGAGCTCTGTGAGTGTGGGGCTGGACGCAGGACGCCGGGGTTCTGTCCCCGCTCAGGGAGGGGAGGGGTGCCTAGTGGTTAGAGCAGCGGTGGGGGGGCGCAGGGGGGGGGGGGGCGCGGGAGTGCGTGGTGTTCAGAGCCGCGGCGGGGAGCCATAGGAGGAGGGCGCTCTGGAACCCAGCCCCTCCAGGCGCATCACCACGTGGCCGCAGGAGACCAATGTCCTTCCCAGAGACCCAGGGCTGCCAGGCCCCAGCCACGTGTGGGCAGCAGCACAGACCCCGTGTCCTGGTGCGCATGCCCTGGGGTTGGCACAGAGCACCTCCCCCAGCCCCACACCGAGCCACAGCCTGCCTCGTGGGTCGTGAAGAACTCCTCCGACTGCTCCAGCGCCGCCCGCAGCTCCTCCAAGCGGCCCAGGTAGCTTCTCTGGGGAGGGAGGGGAGGCAGGGGGTGAGGTGGGGTAGCTGGGTGAGGCCAGCAGGGTGCCAGGGTGCTGCGGGATCTGCCCGGCGTGCCAGTGGGATCTAGCCCGTCTGGGCTCTGGCCGGGAGGGGAACGCAGCTGGCGCTGGCAATCCAACAGGGGCACTCTTGCCTGGCAGGTGGGGCTGCCCCCAGGGCCCCATTGCTGCAGGGAGCAGATGGGGAGCCCAGCAGGGGGCGCTCTTCCCTGGCCAGGCTGGCCCAGGTGTAACACTAGGAGGTGCTATGGGGCAGTTCAGTAGGGGGTGCTGTGCTGCAGCAAGCAGCAGGGGGCGCTCTTCCCAGGCAGGAAGGTCTGACCCCAGAGCAGCACTAGGGGGCTCTGTGAGCCAGGAAGTGGGGTGGAGACTTGGCAGGGGGCGCTCTCCCTGGCAGGCAGGGTGGCACTAGGGGGCGCTCTCACCTGGAAGTCAGGGTTGCACTAGGGGGTACTGTGGGGCAGAGGGCTCAGTAGGGGGTGCTCTCCCCTGGCAGTGAGGGGGTGCTGCAGGGCAGGAAGTGGGGGGCTCAGCAGGGGGCGCTCTCCCCTGACAGGCAGGACTGGCCCCAGGGCCACACAAGGAGGCCAATGGTTGAACAAAAGCCCCACAGATTTCTGCCAGCTGCTGCATCCCACCCTAGAGGTGGCTGCATCCCAGCCCCAAGCAAGGGACACCTGGGCAAGCAATTGCCCCATTCCACCTGAGAGGTGGCTACAGTTCAGTGTGGGAGAAGGGAG